ATGTGATCAGCTCTGCTTTCCCTCAACACTATACTGTGGGTTTCATTGTGGACATGATCTGTCAAAAGAAGGACTAAGCATGAACCCTCTCTGGCAATTTTTGTTTTGTCGACTTTTGGATGTTGACATAAGTTTTGTTGACAAAATTTGGGAGATTAGACATACTCTCAGTTACTTTGGTGCCAAAATCTCCAGCTGTTCCCTACTCTATTAGGAAAACCTCCAAAGTTTTATTTTTTTTAAAGTGAAATTATTTGCTCTTAAGAAAATATGGTGCTTTTTAAAATTATGAAAATATGGTGCTTTTTAAAATTAATACAAAAATAAATACTATATGTTTATAACTTTCTCTGAAATGTTTCTGGTTCTGTGTTCAGGGACAAGTAGACAAGATTTCAATTCATGGATGAACCAATGGTGTAAAGAGGTGGGGGTTCAAATTGATTAGCTGTTGTAACTTTTAGGAGAAACATGGTGGAATGGCAAATATCAGTGGAATAATATAACACTTGGCTATAAAATGGGAAGACAGACTAGATTGTAGAGGCAGGTAAGTAGTGCTATTCAAGAAAGATTTAACAGACGCTAGGATGAAATTGCCGGGGAAGTAAAAAAAAGTCTATGCAGGGATAAGAGAAATTTCATAAACAAGATTGCAGAAAAAGCAGAGGCAGCATCTAAATAAAGGGACTTGAAAACCCTGTAAAATATAACTCGAGTCTTGAGCGGAAGGAAGAGAAACCCAAACACACATGTTAAAAACATAGATGGTCAGCTACTTAACTCAGTTGATGAACAGGTAGCCAGATGGAAGGAGCATGTTGAAGAAGTGTTAAACAGGCCACCACCAACAAATCCACCACAGCTAGAAGCAGGAGAACCCCTAGATATCAACACTGGGGGTACGTCTACACTGCATCCCTAGTTCGAACTAGGGATGCAAATGGAGACAACCGAAGTAGTTAATGAAGCGGGGATTTAAATATCACGCGCTCCATTAACATGATCTCGCCGGCGCGCTAGTTCGAATCACAGCTGATTCGAACCAGGAAGTGCGCGCCGGGACGCGTTAGTTCGGACTAAAGCCCTTAGTCCGAACTAATGTTACTCCTCATTTTTTGGAAGTAGGAATTCCTGAAATTAGCAGGACCTGATAATATTCCACCTGAAGTATTAAAAGAAGGAGGAGCTGCTATAGTGGACCAGCTACACAGTTTGCTAAATCTGATATGGACAACAGAAGAGATTCCAAAGGATTGGAGAAAAGTGCCGCTAATGAAACTCCCTAAATATGGAGATCTGTCACTATGTGAAAGTGGAGGGGGCTTACCCTCCTGTCCATTCCAAGCAAAGTATTAACCAGAGTCATACTGGAATGAATAAAGACCATAGTCCACAAACTACGAGGAGAACAGGCAGGTTTAGGAAAGGACAATCTTGCACAGACCAGATAGTAACACTTCAGATTGTCATAGAACAATGCATTGAATGGCAAGCACCATTCTACATCAACTTCATAGACTTTATGAAAGCCTTCTTTCTCCATTACTCTTCCTGATTGTCCTAGACTGGGTCACAAAAACAGCATATGCCGACTCAGGAAGGGGACTGCAATGGACCCAAACTAGGAAACTTGAAGATCTAGGCTACGTCTAGACTGGCCCCTATTCCCAAATAGCCATGCTAATTTCCAACTTTGGAATAGGGAAATCCGCGGGGGATTTAAATATCCCCCGCGGGATTTAAATAAACATGTCCGCCGCTTTTTTTCCGGCTTGGGGAAAAGCCGGAAAAAAGCGTCTAGACTGGCGCGATCCTCCGGAATAAAGCCCTTTTCCGGAGGATCTCTTATTCCTACTTCCTGAAAGTAGGAATAAGAGATCCTCCAGAAAAGGGCTTTATTCCGGAGGATCGCGCCAGTCTAGACGCTTTTTTCCGGCTTTTCCCCAAGCCGGAAAAAAAGCGGCGGACATGTTTATTTAAATCCCGCGGGGGATATTTAAATCCCCCGCGGATTTCCCTATTCCAAAGTTGGAAATTAGCATGGCTATTTCGGAATAGGGGCCAGTCTAGATGTAGCCCTAGAGTTTGCAGATGACTTAGCCCTGCTTGCAGACAAATTAGAGCATATGCAAGAGAAGATGGATGCCGTACAGGAAACAGCTGAGTGAGTGGGTCTTAAGATTAATCAGGAGAAGACCAAGTTGATGTGCATTAACAACAGAAAGGAAGGTGCAATTACAATCGAAGGAAAAGCAGTGCAAGACGTTGAACAGTTTGTATACTTGAGGAGTGTTATCAGCAAGAATGGGGGAACTGAAGAGGATGTCAGTGAGAGAATGTGAAAGGTGCAACAAGTCTTCACCATGCTACGACCAGTCTGGTGTACAAGAACCATTTCAACAAGGACCAAACTACGTATTTTCATTTCCAATGTGAAATCAGTGCTGCTATATGGCTCGGAGACGTGGCATGTTGTCCAGAGCAACACTAAGAAAATTCAGATGTTTGTCAATAAATGCCTTAGACACATTCACCAGCTAAAGTGGTAAAATAGAATGTCAAATGAAACCTTGTGGACCCAAAGAACTCAGAAACCAATGGAGGTCCAGATTAAAAAGAGAAAATGGCAATGGGCGGGCCACATCCTGCGTAAGGACTTGAAGAATGTATCATGAGACAAACGTTAGAATGGAATCCAAAGGGAAGAGGAAAAGGGGATGTCCCAAACAAACATGGCGATGATGCTTCAACAGTGGTAGTGCCCCTTCACAGTACCTCCTAACATAATGACAAAATTGACTTCCAATTGTTTCACCATGAAAGTAAGGAAGCAGTTATCTAGTTCCCAGATACCTCACTGACTGGACATTTTGTATCTAAATATCAAATAAACCACTGTATCTTTTATTCAAAATGAAACCCATGTTAGCTAATCTCAGTGTTGAATATCTAACCATTATCCATAGATATAAGAAAATAAAATGTAATCTAGTCAGCAACACTCATATTCATGAATGTGTGGTATGCATATTTAAAATATATTTTATGTACAAGCTATAAAATCCCTTTAAGGTTCTAGCATAGATAGAGACCCTGGATTGAATCTATCTTAGAAATCCAATAAAAATATAGAAACAAATGAAAAACTCCAGCAGGAAGAGATTTACTATCTGGCAAAAATAAGGGTTTATATTAAATGTTTAGATTATTGTTGTATAAAGCAATACTGGGTATCTTTATAATATTCTAAAATAATAACTAATTCCGTCTTGATTCAGTAAACTATGTAAGCCTGTCTGAAATAATAACCTGAAGTACAAAAACAGTAAAAATGTAAATTATGCACTAATTGAAAAATGTAATCCTTCAACTATCCCGAATAAGCAATGTATTATTGACATAATTAATAGATATGTATTAACCTGATCTTAAATATCTCTAGGAATATTACACCATGCTACAAGGCCAAGGAATGTAACACTCATTACTGACCAACTCTGCTCCTGTTTCAGGGGCAAGATAGTCATATGCGCTTGTAGGAATGATGTTTACACTAAGCATGTTCGCAATATCCCCTCCTCCACATAAGAAAGGTGTATTTTACTGGCTGGTAGTTAAGGAGGAAATATAATGTGTCTCCACAACCCAAATATGACTATAGCTAATGAGAAAGTTTATAAGCAGAAGGAGGGAGGATTAATTCTTCAACCCCATTTTAAAAAAATAAAAAGAGGGGGCTGCACAATTGTCTGGTGAGTGAGAGCAAGAACCTCATGAATACTTCTATTCAACTCTACACTCACAATAGAATATAATACAAGGGGAGAGCTGGTAAATTAAAGGAATAAACAGACAGACCTGGTATCCATGGCTATGTCTACACTATGCAGAAGATCAACACTTCCGCAGTCAATCTTCTGGGGTTTGACTTAGCATCTAGTGAAGACCCACTAGTTAGAACTGAGAGGGCTTCCCCATCAGTGCCAGTAATCCTGCTCCTGATGAGGAGTAAGGGAAGCAGTTAGGAGTATTTGCTTCCGTCGACCTCACATTGTATGGACAGCGCCAAAATGTGATTTAAGATATGTCGACTCCAGCTATGTAACTAACAGGGCTGGAGTTGCGTATTTTAAGTGAACCTTTCCCTTTAGTGTACACCTGGCCCATATGTCTAAACACTGCTAGACATGCATCTGACGAAGTGGGTCTTTGCCCACAAAAGCTTATGCTCCAACACTTCAGTTAGTCTATAAGGTGCCACAGGACTCCTCACCGCTATTGCTAGAACTGTACATTAGTTATTCCTCCAATACAAGAGCCAGAGTAACTAGTACAGGATGCACACTTTTTAGGGAGGGCAAAAGGGCCATGATGAGTATAATGAAAAGCAGATTTTCTTAAACTTTTTAAGACCAAGGAACACCAAACAATAAATTTTTATGAGGAACACCAAAGATTTTTTGAACAGGAAAAAAAAAGACTCAGGGGGAAAGTTATTGAGCAAAAAACCAAAAATAAAAAAAAGGTCGCCTGTCCCTTTAAGGGCAGCCATTTTTAACTCTATTGTTCTTTGCGGTACACTTCCGACTGCCTCGCGGCACACTGGTGTGCTGCAGAATGCAGTTTAAGAAACACTGATGAAAAGTAATGTGGAGGACAGAGTTCATTTACCTGAAGTCTAATACCACCATGGAATTTTCTACTTTTTAACATTCACCTCTAACCTTTTACATTAGTCACAAACATGCTTCTTTAAGAAGCTGGACTGATTTGCTGCTGATTTCTGGGATGTACAGGCTAGATATAGTTGTGTCTGAAGAAATCCATAAATGTATAACCCATATAGTAACAGAGTCTCTATGATTACTCTCAGAATATTAGTAAATATCCATAGTGCAACTGACAATAAAAGGAAAATATATTGTAATGAAAATAACTCCACTGCTAAGCAAACTACAAATTAGTATAATAGAAATACTATGAAAGCCTTCATTTACCGTTTTAGAAAGAAATATTGTACGGCAAGGAGCTCTACAAATCAAACATTCATCTTTTTTGCCTGTAAAATAAAAATGAATGCCATGTGAATGAATGCCATAGCGTGTACAAATTATAGAACTTGATTTGATGATTAGTCCTTTTGTGTATCAAGAATCAAAGGTTCTATACATAATTGAAAATAAAATCATATAAAGGGCTTGATTTTTTTTAAATGTGAGCACACGGTTGCTCAGGTGATAATAGGCAATGGCTCCCAGGCCTGAATCCAAGACTCATGTGCAAATAACTTTATGCACAGTCTGACTGAACTCAGTTGTTGGAAAACTTCTGTTGATTTTAATAGGACTACTCACATACTTAAATTTAATTTTTGGCATAAATGATTTGATGGACCACAGCTAACCAGAGGTATGCCTGAAAGATATTTTGGGCCCAATCCCGCTCCCACTGATATCAGTGGCTGAAATTTGTGGTCTTGGCTTTAATAGAGCCATAATTTTATCTTTGTGGTTTTTGTCAGTGACTTGAGTAGGAACAGGATCAGAGAGTATTCCTGAGCATAAAAGTAACCATTTTCTAAGGTATGTCTTTATTATTTAAAAACCCATTAACAATTATTTTCAATACATGCACATAATCATGATACTTAAATATACTTTTTATCTTCCTTGATAGTTGGCTAGATATGTGTAGATAGCTGACTAGATATATCTAGAAAACTTATTCGCTTAAAGGGGTAGCTGTGTTTGTCTGTAACTTTAAAAAAAGAATGAATAACTCTGTAGCACCTTAGTCCTGGCTTGCACTAGGGAGTTATTTCAAAATAACTCTCCTTATCTCTAAATAACAGGCAAAGCATACACACTATCAAGATCATTATTTTGAAATGACGTGCTGGTTATTTCAAACTAATAACTCCTGATTTCCACAAGGAATAATGCTAATTATGAAATAGGTATTTAGAAATAACGGTAGTGTGGATGTTCCGGTGCCGCTATTTCAAAATAACTACTCCCCAAACTACTTCAAACAAATTATTCCCCAGTGATTCCTGGGGCTCCATGTTGAGGTAGCATGCCTAATTAACGGAGCTTGTCTCGGACTAATTTCAAGGCTTCCCTGGAGTCTGGACACTCTAGTTTGAAATTATTATTTCCGGAGTTATTATTTTGAAATAAGTTATTTTGAAATAATTTCCTACTGAAGACAGGCCATTAGACTCTAACAAAAATATATAGTTTCATGAGCTTTCGTGGGCAAAACCCATTTCCTAAAAGGTGGTTTTTTATTCCCTCAAAGAGGTTTATGTGCCTAAGCTGCCCGACATGAACTGAAGTTCCTACCTCTGATAGCTAGATAATTATTTGCTTACTGTCTAGCATGCTGAATATCAATGTTTGTCATGATATTTGAAGAGGAAGAACACAGTACATTTGTATTATAACTGGTAGAAATGTTATTTGAATACACACCAGGTAAAAGTTACACTCATCAATTTTTGTCTCACTCAGATTTTATTAAGAAAGCATGGATGCGGGCTACATTTGAGCATTCTGCAAGTTATATTCAGATCCTAGCTCTGCATTTTAGGCACTTTCCTCTTAAACAAAACTGATTACATTAGCTAATTTTTGAAGATTTAAATATATATATATATATATATATATATTATTG